GGCATTGAATAAGTGTAAGGAAACGATGCATTAAAAAGTTTAGAGTACCAATTTACCAACAAATAAATAGATTGAAAAATAAAAAATAAATAAGAGATAAATAAATAAGTGCAACTTGATAAATACCTACTTTATATCTTAATAGTTGTTTCTGTGTTGATGTGAGTCATGTGACAATTGATTTCATTATTTTATTATTTTAGTAATTTTTTCAGTTTTGAATTATTTTATTATTATTTTTTTAAAATAACGTTCAAATGTTCAAAATGCCAACGTTCCTACACCCAACTTTTACCATGGGGAACAAATGCTATGCTTTGACCAAATTAACTATTCAGAAATGTATACACTATCTAGTAAATTTCCAAGACACTCTGACAACTTTTTTTTCTGCTTGTTCTTGCTTAGGATTTTGTTCTCGCCTTAACTCTATTAATAATGTTGGGGACCAGGGGTTTACTAAATTTTATCAAAAGAAAACACTAGTTGCCCCGTTAATTGAATTCCGTCTTTAAAGTCCTGGTTTACTAAAATTTGAGACCACAATTTTCCAAAGAACCATATAAGGATTCTAAAGCGATGACTCTTTCCAAGATGCCAATGTACAGAACATGAGGACCAACTTTACCCTCGATGTACCGTAAGTGGGATTGATAGACCAAAATTTCATGTTGATGGAGAAGTAAGACTTGTCAAAATTAGAAGGAATCCAAAATGTGTTACCAATATAGTCCTTGGCCTCAAGCTTTGCTCTTATCTCAGAAGCAGAAGTTTTGTCTCCCTCAAGCAGAAGAACCTTGAGTCCCTTGGGAAAATCTTTCCATTCTTGTAAATCATTAGGGTGCTGACCATAACTGGCTTGGTATTGTTTCTTAGTTCCCCACAGAAAGTAAGAGATCAATATTGCTTATCAACATCCAATTTGTTCTGCAAAATCCATGAGATCACAAGCTTGATTCAGTAAGCTAGACTTCAATAATAAAAATTACAGGAATTGAAAAACAAAACAAGTAGAAACTCCATTGCATACGTAAATTTGTTTAAATGGTTAAAAAAACTTCCAAATAGCTAGCAGATAGTGCAGAACACTGGCATGGCATCTAAAGATTAACCCCAAAATTAGGTTCACATCAACACTGACATGACCACTGATCATCAATGATACAGTTGGTAAATCACAAAACAGATTCCCACTAATATTTAGGAAACTTTCTATGCAAAACAAAATCAAAAGTCTTTCTTTTGTAGTGTAAAGATCTCATTTGCTGATCATGGCATTTTGATAGAACTGCAAACTTTAACTGTGAATATGTGATAAGAAGGAAACTTTAACTGTAAATGTACCACATTAGGACATTTCATCGAACACCTAAATTGCAAGAGAAATAAAGGATAACAAAATTACCTGAAATGGTATAGATGGTAGATTTTCAATTTCGAAAATTTTTGGATTAAAAGATCACTTGAAGGTGTTCACATGAAGTGGGAAAGAATAGTTTCAAAATGTCGATTACATTCTAACCTTGTTACTCTTCAAATCTGAAAATCTTCCGATTACATTCTAACCTAGCGAAGAAGATGAAGAAAGAAAATTCAGAAAGAAGATGAAGAAAGAAAATTCCCACAGTGGTAGAGACAGCAGAAGCATGCAATATCAAAATGATGCCAATGAAGGTTCAGTCCTCATAATTTGATTGTTGCGAAAAAGAAAACGGGATACATAGCGTCATAAGAGAGGGGAAAAAATTAAATAGCTTACGAGTATTATTATTCGTTAGAATTGGGGTCGATTTTTTAAACAGCCATTAAGACACCGCCATTGAATCCCGTTTTTACTGTAGTGTAGTATTATAAATGAATGGAGTAATTAAATGGATCAAGAATAAAATAATACTGATACATGACAATGTTTAAGGAAGGAAAAAGTTAGTTCACATATTTAGTTAGGTGCAATTGTGACTCTTGTAATATAGTCTTCCGCTTAATTAGATAAATATGTTGCGCTTTATACCATAGGTAATGTTAACAAATCGATCCGGAACAAAGAGTTACAGTTTATCTGAAGGACAATCAATGGAAATGAAATATTAAAAGTGTAGTTGCCAGTGGTTGAGGTGAAAGGCTGTGATACATGCCTGTGTGGTAGACTATGGTAGAATGACCTCTAAGATCATCTATTTTTCTTGTGTATAAAGGAGCGTAAAAACTCTCAAAGCTTGACAATATCATGATTTTATAAGAGTTCTTGCTTATAATTCAAAACTAGGAGTTGCATTTTTGATTTACTATTTTTTTAAGATTTTAAGGAATTTTTGTATATTTTTTACCAAAAATTTGTTATTTTATGAGATTTAGGATTTTATGATAGAAGAAAGTATAAAAAACAACAACTTAATTACAAACAAAGGTCAAAGTATTTTGCACCTTTAATTATTGAATCTCCACCTTATATGGTGTTTCATTCTCAATGAACATTGTACTTTTTTTTTCAATAGTTTTTATAATATGGTTAGGATAATAAAATCTATAAGCTTCTTAGAGTCAATTTGGTACATTTAGGGGGCGTTTGATACAAGAGAATTTTTTTTACTAGGAAAATGTAATTACTAGAGATCTGCAGGGAAAGTGAGTTAGGTATGAAAGTTAAAAAAAAGTTGTTTGGTTGGGCAAAATATTACCGGGAAAATTGGGTGAGATATCCTGAATCTATGTTTGGTTGAAGATAAAATATTGATGGGAAACCAGGTTGAAATTACAAACTAACCCTTTACAATATTTTAATGAATCTATTAACTGGATGATCCCCAACTCATTATTTCAATTGTTCATGCGAGTTCTACCAATTTCCAGGTGAATAACAGAGAAGTAGATCTAGAAAGGAATGGAATTGACGAGAGGTTTGTCTGCTACACAACAGTAAATCCTTTTCATGTTAGGCTTCTTAAGCATGACAAATGACGGGAGGATGCACAACTTCATTTGCCAAAAAAGAGGGGCAAGTCTCCGACAAAAAAAGGTCCATAGAAGGTGACAAGAACAAAACTGGAAGAGCAAAGTCTCCCTCCCCTAGCTCATCTTCTAGGAAATATAGACAAACAGGGTTGTCACCAGCGGCAAATTGCAAGTTTTCTGTGAAGCTTGGAAAGGCGAGTGCCATAAAGTTCTCTCCTAAAGCCAAGAGAAGGCGTAGATCTCAGTATGTCGAACCAGTTAACTTACATTCAACAGAGTTACAAGAGGGTAGTTTTGGCCGCTATTATGTCAAAAAAATTCATTTACCTAGTGAAATACCACCTTGGAAGTGGGATTTGAACACCATCCATTTTGACCAATTTTACATACAATCTTCAATGGCTGGGGAAATAGGTTAGTTAGTAAATTTTTTTGATATCCTGTACCAAACATAGACAACACACAATCCCAATCTCAGATGCCTAGCTATATTTGAAGAAATCTCCTACCAAACACAACCTTAGTGCCTGTTTGGGAAGTTTTTTATTTTTATTTTTTTATTTTATCTTATCTTCTTCTTATAAGGAGAAACTAGATCAAATAAGTTTTACAAAAGCTCTTATGATAAAAAGAATTTTTTTTTAATAAAGAAAAAAGTCAAAAACCAAAAGCTCTTAGTAAATTTTTTTTAAGTTGTATCAGTTTATTTTTAATTTGAGCTTTTAAGTAACTTTTAAGCTAAATTTTTTATATAATCTTCAAAATACTTTTATTTTTATTTTTAAAACTTTTTTTAACTTTAATTTAAGAGTAGCTTATAACTTAAAAAAAGATGTCAAAGAGGCACTTAAACATAAAAGGAAAAATGCTAAACATAGCATAACTTTTAAACAAATAATTATTATTTTAAACAATATTCCCCTTTTTTTTGTTATTTGTTTTGTGATATGCGAACATTTGTTTCATATTTTTACCATCTTCAAAGGGAAGTTTAGCTAAGAACAAAAAAAAAAATTGCTTTTGGGAAAGAAATATTTATCCAATTGGACATTTAGTTATTAAATAATACTTTTTACAGAAATCCCAGTGCCTAAAAAAAGAAATTTTGCATAAAAATTATATAAAATACTCATTTCTCTAAAACATTTTCTAGGCAAACGCATAGTTTGAAAGAAATAATATTTGGTAGGGAGAGGCTTACCAAAAAAAAAAATTGGTAGGGAAAGTTTTATACTATTGAGAGTCTGCATGTTTTAAATTGGATAACTTAGGTAATTAATAAATTGATGGAAAAATTTAAAAAGAAGAAAGAAATCATTCTTAAGGCACAACTTTAAAATATAATATTCATCCAATCTCGAGGGTTGACTCAAGTGGCAATATGAGTCACAAGAAAGACAAATTGCCAAAAGAGCATGAGCTAGAATCATGGAAAGGATTTTACACTTAGAACTGAATAATTATTACGTTGCTTAACTCGAGATTAATCCAATGCTTATGGGAGCTCCTTCCTATGCCCAAATTATGGAAATACAGATAACTTAACTCACTTTCCTCAAAAGGATAATTAAGGTCATAAAATAAAAAAATATTAATCCCCTCAAGTCAATGTGAAATAGATAATTATAATGTAAACATTTATAAATAAAATAAATTATAATTAGTGATAAAAATAATGCAAACTAGAATGAGGGCACGTGAGTAGTGAGTAGAAGCATATTTGGATCTTCTTTTTTTAAGTTTATTTTTTTTTTATAAGAAAAAGTTAGGTCAAATAAGTTTTTATAAAAAAAATTATAATAAAAAAAGTCAAAAATCAAAAGCTCCTTGGAAGGAATTTTTTTAAGCTCTTATTAATTTTTAATTTGAGCTTTTAAGTTAAATTTTGTGTATTATCATCAAACATTTTTTTTTTAACTTTTTTTTTTAATTTTAACTTAAAAAGTTTAAAAAGAGAGAGTATCCACTAGTGTTATTTATGCGCGTGAAGAAGCAAAGGCGAAAAACGCAATTTTCGTAATCTGCACTCCAGCTCCAGCACAGCACTGTTTTGTGACTGATGCCATTCCTTCTCACTAGTGTTCTCGAAGTTTCCAGGTTGGTACCATTGCAGTGTTTTTTCGCACCTTCCCATTCAGATTTTGACGATTCCGTTGCTGCGTTCCGCTGACGCGATTCCGACTCAGTAAACAGAGTCGACTCGTGTTAACTTGGGGAGTTTCAAAGAGGAACAGAGCAGAGGCTCAAGTGCACCCCGGCGCTTCCAGAAGGTTCGCCTTATCATTCTTCTGCCACACCCTTCATAGTGTTAATCACCGCAATGAGTGAAACACTGAACTGTTTAATCAATAATCATCTTCATGCCTTGCAATTAGGGTTTTTTTGTTATTCTCTTTATTCATGCGTTTTACGTGTTCGATAAAATTCCTGTTCCAACGTTTCTTCTTAGTTTTTGTCATTATAAAGAATGAAGATGCTCTTTAAGTTTGTATCTGCTGAGATTTTGAAATTTGTTTTGATGTTAGTTTGCTTTGAATAAAATTTACTTTTGTCGTTTGTTTTAAATGTGGTCTTTGATCTTGTAATCCTGCAGATGTCACTGTATATTGGTAATCTGTCAGGACATGCTCGAAGAGATGAACTCGAGCGTGTTTTTCGTAGATTTGGACATTGTAATGTTCAGCTGAAAGGAGAAGGCTATGGCTTTGTAGTATTTGACTTCCCTCCGGATGCTGAAAAAGCTTTGAGAGCACTGAAAGGTAGAAATATATGTGGGGAACCGCTGACTCTAACATGGTCCAATAAACAGCCCAATACACAATTTCCGAGATTTGCTAGGGGTGATAGAAGAAGTACATATGAGTTGCACCATGCAAGGAATTCTGAGAGATTAGGCCATGCAAGAAGGAAAGCGGGTTTCAATGGATGGAGGAATCACAAGATGGGTAATGTTGAACGGGGTAAATCTGTTGAAGTGCCTGGTGAAGAGAGGAGATATCATCGAGATGATTTTAAAAATTATGTTGGGGAAGAAAAAGATTACAGGGGAGACTTTCCAGATGAAGGTGGTGGAGTTGTTCCTAACATGGAGGACTACGGCAGATGGGGTGAGCCAATTAATGACCCATCAATTGACAATGGGAATAAAAATGTTGTAGAATTTGATCGTTATGAACCTTATCATGGCCATGGCAGGAAGCAGGACAATGAAGATTATCATGTAGGTTACTCAGGTGGTTCTCCTGCAGCAAATTCCCAACAGAACATGGACAGAGCACAGATTGGCGAGGAAACCTCAAATCGTCCAAATGTCTCTAAATTCCGTCAAGGTTGTTATAGATGTGGTGATTTAGGTCATAAAATGCGAAATTGTCCGAAAGAACATTCTTCCCAGAGAAAATATAATAGGTTGGGTGTTGGGCAGAATAATAAAATAGACGAAAATCATAGAGTTGAGGATGAGAATAAATTTGGATGTGTTTCTTGGGTGAAGCAGCGGTCAAGTGGGGATGCTTTATCAAAGAGGCCTCAGAGAGATGAGCGGAGGGTGTCTGGTTCGCAACAATACCATGATCCATCGAGGAATGAGTCATCCTCTAGAACAAAGGAAACTGATAGGTATAAAAGAAAAGAGTATGGAGGGAAGAAGCAAAGCAGAAATGAAATAGAATCACCTAAAAGATCCAGGGCAAAGATATCAAGGCGGTTGGTCTCATCCTCTTTGCCTTCAAATTACTCTGCATCTCCTCCCTCACTCTCAAATTCTCAATCATCCAAGTCATTGCCTAGGTCTAGTTCCCATTCTAGATCAAGATCAGTGCCTTCTAGAGGTCATTCTTCATCTTCAAAGTTAAGGTCTTCCTCAAAATCTCAGTATTGTAGAGGCAAAAGTTTAACTTCTAGGAGATCAAGCTCCCCTACATCTTTGTCTGTATCACTCAATCAGTCTTTACCGTCATCTCCAAATAAAATCCAGTTGAATTCAAAAAGCTCATCCATTAATGATACTGCTCTTGAATATGAGGATCATTTGATTGCACAGGGACAACAGACTGGTGGTACAATGGAATGGGAGAATCTTCAATCCAAGGAGACAGGTATTGCTGTAAATGGAAAAGCTGCAGTATACGCCTCAGCGGTGGATGCCATGGAAAAGGACCAATATGTACAGGAGGAGAATACTGAAAATCATTTTCTTGTAGACCCATCTAATGGAGCAACAGATATAACTCAACCACTTGTTGCTGGGAATTTGCCTCCGAGGATAGTGAAGGAGACAGAGGGCTTTGGGCATTCTGGAACACTGATGATGGATGATATTCCAAAAGAAATTCAGAAGCCAGCTTCTGAAACTCATGTCAATCCCGGTTCTGGCCTTTCAACAATCATGTCCACAGAGGAAATGTGCATGGTTCTCAATAACTATGGCCTGGAACTGCCAAAAGATGATGAAAAAAATTTAACAATGGATGCCTTCTTTGGTTCTGCTCGCTTGTGGCCTTGGCATATTGTTTATTACCGTCGGTTGAAGAAGGGCCCAATTTCAACTGAGAACTATGCTAGGCGGGTTGCTCAGAATCAGGAATTTGGCATTGTTGATAAGTATGTAAGAAGCAGTAGTGGATGGGGAGAATTCAGTCTTGAGAAATCGTAATAGTTTATACTGCTATAAATGATGCACTGTTGGTAGATTTAACCTCATAGGAGCTCTTTATCTATGATATTTCTTCTTTTACACATGGCTCTCAATGGAATTCAGATGTGATTATTCGATAATGATTTTCTAAGAAGTTTGCCCAGGTAATTATGCATATCATACTATAACTCATCAAATTGCTTTGCCTTCTTGTAGTGTCTACTCAATTATAGTGCAGTGCCATCTAATAAATGATGACATTTATAACAATGGTAGTATGCTGAATGTTTGAATGATGGTATAGATTCTGGAATGACAGGGAGTCTACACTGTTTTAATTATTTTTCTGTTTGTTTTTTGTGCTTGCTTCAAGATGGGGAGAAGGAGCTAAAGGAGCTTCTTTATTGAGCTAATGTGCAAATTGCTGTTAACATTATAATGCTAGGGCTATCAGCTAGGAAGCATGGACATGACAGGTCATAACAAACAGCGCAAGTCTTAAAGTATAGGACATGATATGGCTGAACATTTTATATAAAAAAAAATTAATATATTATAATCATCAAATGACATATTCTGAACTTGAAAATATAAATTGGCAATATGAAGGTCATAAGTTCATCTTTATATACCATAATTATTAAAAATCAATAATTTATTCTATTTTCTTGATCCTCTATTTCAATTTCTTTTTAAATTTTTGTTGTCTTGGCAAGATACGTGATAAAGTATGGGTATTAAGTGGTTAATGATGGATAAATGATTGGTTGCATAAATTTGATATTTGGTTAGTGGAAGTGATGTAGCTGATCTAGGGAAGATTGGAATTAGTTTTTGGTTGTTGAGAGGAATTGGGAGGGTGAGAAGGAGGTCTCTCGAATTCCTGAAGCGATAGAGAGAGAATCTTACTTTTGTATCATTCTCGATCTCTGTTCTGTATTTCATTGATAGTGGTCAGTGTTTTTCTGTAATAAAAATTTACTGTTCTACCTATTTGTGATCCAATCTTCCCTCAGTAACCCGCCTCTCCTCCTTTCCATTCAGTTAAAGCTTCTGATCCAATCTTCACCTGTTGGATATTAGGATAGTCCATAGGGTTTCTTGCTTGACCATGGTGTAACTTGTATAATGTTGAGAGTTGGTTGTCAACCCAATGCTGAAATTCAGAAAAAGTATTCTAGGGACCCTGGCTATGTTGTTTTCCTGTTAGATGTGGAAAACTTGTGTAGACCAATGCAAGAAGTTTCTGGGTTCCTGATCCAAAAAGATCATGTTGTGGCCACTAAAATTGGTGTATGTCTCATTGAAGAACGCAAGATTGGATCTGCTTGAGTTCCTCTAACAATGTGTTGCAAAGGGTTAGGCTAGTTGATGGAATATGGAAATAAAATGATGGGCCAATTGATACAGCTGTGGCAACAACGGAAAGCTGAGAACTGCTTCCTGTATTCTTACCACTGCTATGTTTTGCCCTATATAGCTCATGCTGTTGGAGAAATTATAGAGATGAGGCAGCTGCCCCAAGATGTCCAAGTACTTGCCAACTTGCTACACTTGGAAGGTTGATGGCTTCAATTGGAGCCTCAGGAGATTCTCTGATTATGAGTGTGTTGGGTGACTCTACTAAGGTTAGGGTTATTGTTGTAAGTAGTGGGTTTGGTGGTTCCTTATATTTTTGGCCATGCAGAACCTTCTACTATGGTTCTTGTAAATGACCAGGTATTTTGCCCAGTTGATATGGTTCTGCAGTGGCTATGGGGGAGAGAGAAGGGTGTCTTTCAAGCCACAGCTGAAACTATTGATGTAGCTACTATTTGTAAGGGCCACATGACTTTCTCATTTTCCCCCATGTTGGTCCTTACTGTGGGCCTCAAAGAGGGCCAGTGGAACCCTGGTAGCTTGGTCATCATGCTTGAAACAGTGGGACCCAGGCAGGACTTTGTTGTCAGCTACCACAATCTGTTCACCTTAAGGAGGAGTATTGTTAGGAGAGTGATAAGGGAAACAGCTCTAATAATTGACGAGGTAGTTAGTTGTAATATAATATGACAACTGGACTGTTAGTTAGTTAGGAGAAGCTTTAACTGAATGGGAAGGAAGAGACTGGGCAGGGGTTGTAGGGTATAACTAGGAATTGAGGGAAGATCGGAATTATTTTTTTGGTTGTTGAGAAAATTTGGCAGGGAGAGAGCCAGGTGTCTTGAATTCCTGGAGAGAGAGAGAGAGAGAATCCTAGATTTGTATCATTCTTGATCTCTATTCTGTATCTCATTGATATTGATCAGTGTTTTTCTGTAAAAAAAATTGTTCTACCTATTTCTGATGCAATTATATCACCATTTATCAAGATTGTAGAAAAAAAAAAAGATTGTAGAAAACCATAGTTGACGTGATTAACATCTGAAACAAGCACTAAGATACCACTTTTTCTAATAGCAAAACAAAAGTTATCATGCTCTTCTTTCACGGTCTGCATCAAATGGTTCATTCCTGTTATTGCGTTACATGATTCTGAGAGCCTTACTGAAATTTAGTCATTCTTGAAAACTGAAAAGCTCTTCTGGGAACAATATCAGATGATATACATCTTTGAGCACTGGATCAGTTGTATTTGTTAGTTGCCAAATTTTGGATTTCCATCATGTGATATGGTCTTCTTAAGCTGTGATTGCATATTGATCTACTCAGGAAACCCACTTAATTGCATGGATGTGAATTTAAAAAAATTGCCTTTTTGTTTTCTAGGGTTATGCAGGAGAGAGGAATTATGAAAGAAAGGATTTAGTTCTTCACTCAATAATGTGCAGATAAGAAGTCGTGGATGGGCCTTTTTGACATTTGCTAGAACCAGATTCTTGAACTCTTTCTTGTTTGTTAATTCGTTGAATTTGAAACGTTCTGACTTTTTGAGCCAGTAGAATCTTCAACTCCCTCCTTTAAGTGACCGACAATGGATTTAGATCTTCTCTCCTCTCTCACAGGAGAGAGGTAAACGTAATTTTCATGTGCAGGGACCTAGCATGATGGCTTATGGGTTACATTAATTATATTGAAAACTGTGTCTTTATTTTTCTAATAAGGCTCCCCTACGAACATTAAGAGATAGTCCAGATCCATTGAAAATTTGTTAGTTTTCTCACCTTGAAGAATCAAAATTTGACGCAAATACACAGGAAAAGGGCCGAGGTGTAAATATCCAACTACTTGTTGCTGATTTAAAACAAATACATAAGCTGAACATCGGTAGAATGCTTTTGTAAGGGTTTCTAAAGAGTTTGATTGGGCTATTCTGAGTAGCTCACCGAGGTTTCAAATTGAGTCAGTGTCTAAGTGGATACTACGTAACATCTCTGATAGGTACTTCGACCAAAATATGATTTTTGTATGTAGGGGTTTTTGTTTTCATACGAGGCTGCAAATTATATGTATTCAAAATTATCTATTTGGTGAGGAATAAAATTATTTTCCATCAGAACAGTGTCGAAGATGGTAACATATCTTGAACGATCACCTGAGTGATTTTGTGCTGTTTAACATAAGCATTTAATGTATAAGCTTCCATATGTAATATATCTCCCTTGAAATTTAGACTCAACCTGTTTTCATCCTTGATAAATATGCTGTGTCTTATATTCCTTATCTATGAAGTGATGCATTGTTTGTATCCTTGCAAAATATGGATATGCATTTATGAAAATTAAGGGGCATTTAGTGAGCTTTTATGGTTGCAGGTGGGCTATGATGGAGAAAAAGGTGTTGCTCATAATCCTAGGTTATCGGATTGACTGATAGCATATAGCTGTTCTCTTTCATTTTTGAGGAAGGTGGGTTTTTGGATTGAATAAGCAGTGGCAGATCTTTGTGTAAATATTAATCTCGTGTCTATGAGCAACCCTTGGGGTAAGTTGGAATCAGAAAGGAAAGACACATCCTTGAATGGTTTATTAGTTATTTTGATCATCAGGATATTATACAAGACAGAAAACGCACCGTGCAAGGGAGAATGCAATTGACTAGTGTTACTAAACGAATGTGTTTGCATATGAATAAACAGGAAGTCGGGAACCATAAAACGACTAAGAACTATTCTGAATGATGAAATTAACACACTTTATGCGTCTAGATAATGTACGCAGTGCTATATTACATGCTTAGCGTAGCAATCATAAAATAATGATAAAGTGGAAATTGTAGCATATATTAATTATCACCAATCCTGTTATGACTTATGAGCCTAAGACTAGTTTCGGTCTACGATTCTAGGGCTTGACGTATCTTTCTCATATTGATGACTTGTCTAATGCATTGATGTTCCTTCTTCCGACCCCATCTGTTAAGTTTTGTTTGCTAGAGTTGATTAGGGAAGAAAGAAATTGTTCCAATGTTGTGATGCTGACTTTCGCTTTTTGGCGTCATGTCCATGAGGAAATAAAAGGAGGAGTGGATTATTTTTTCGTGAGGCTACGTTGCACCGTATGCAATTCTTTCCTCACAAGAAATATAGGGAGGGAAAGAGAAGAGAAGAGAAGGAAAAGAAATGGTTTTTGTGGGGATAACAATTTTTTCTCAGTTTACCTGTTATATAAATCTTTTAATAAAGAAATTTGATATTTACACATTTTATATAATTTTTTTTAATCTTAAGAGTTATAATTTTTTATTGTTCAGTAATTTTATTTAACAAAAAGGCTCATTATTGGATACTTCTATTTTTTTTAACGTTACAAAGTTTTGTTTGTTCTAATATATTAAGGGTAAAGTGTGTGTCATTTTAAAGGATGTAAAATTGTGTCATTTTAAGAGAGAGAAAAAGATAGATAAATGAGGAGAGAGAGTTGACAAAAAAATAAAGGTGTGGGTCTCACCTCTTTGTGAGAGTGAAATGATATAAGTTGTGTCATTTAAAAGGATAAACATTTTTTCCATATATTAAATATAGGTTCATTTTTTCTACGTAGATAAGTTATCTACATTGAGCCTAAAACGGCGTCGTTTTGAGGCGGAAATCAAGGTATTTTTATAATTATAATTTATTTCATGGTTATAATAGTCTTTTTCATTATAATTTTTTAATTTTTCAATCTAAAACGACATCGTTTTGGGAGCGAATGTAGATAACTTATCTACATTCACTTTAGAAACATTAAAGCCATTTAAATATTTATGCCTTCAAAATAATTACTTTCAATTTTTTTTTTTGCGTTAGAATTTTTTATCTTCAAATTTTAATTGTTTATATTCTTAGATTCTTGATCATTTTTTTTAAACTAAAATTTCTTCTCTCTTCAAATGTTGACTGCTTCTTTTTTATATGTTAAACTAGTCATTATTTCTTGCATTGTACATATGTTTTTAAACTTAAATATAAATTAAAAGAATGTTTAAGGGAAATAATATTTAAAATTATGGAGACATATATGATTAATAATCAAATCAGATAAAATTTCAAAAATATATATTAAAAAATGATTATAATTATAAAGAAGACTTATATAGTCAACATAAAATAATTTGAACTAAATTCTAGAAAAAATTAAGAATGATATGTCATTTTCTAAAAAAGAATATGTTAAGAGATTAAGCTACTTTTAAAAGAGTGTATTCTAATTTTATATTTATGTGTGAATCTTATGATACCTAATCTCATTTGGAATTCAAAAACTCTCCTACTAAAAATTAGGATTTGAAATTTTAAATCAGACAAAAAAAAAACATTTTAATAGAGAATAAGAAATAAATAAGGAATCTCAACATTATGTTTGATGGACAATTAAGTTTAAAGTGTTGGAAAAATGTTAAAAATGAATTGGAATAAAAAAGGAGCTATTCGGTGGTGAAGCCACGGAGGATAAAGTACCACATATTATCCCATTCTTTTTTTTGGAAATAGTTTATTATCCCATTCTTAAGAGTGACAATTCCATATTATTACATGTGAAAAAAGTATCTAGTGTTATTTTAGATAATTTTGTCTAATGTATATCGAAATAATGTCTTTTTGGGATTGAAAAATTAAAAAATTAGAATGGTAAAAATTATTATAATTCTGAAATAAATTAAAATTAGAAATACACCATGATTTTCGCCTCAAAATAATGTTATTTCGGTGAATATTAGTCAAAATTGTCTAAAGTAACTTTTAAAAAAATGAACCTTTACTATATAGGGGTGAATTAGAATGTAATATCTCAAATTAATTTAATCATTTTTTTTTATATTTTTCATTATAGAATGACACATGTTATTCTTAATTTACCCTTTTTTTAAAAAAAATTTGAATTGAAATTTTTTAAATTAATTAAGCATATTTTTTATAATTTTAAATTTTATTCTCATTTATATATATATAGCTTTTATTTTTTACCTGAATTAATTATGTATATGTTATTTATAATTTTTAATACTTTAAATTTATACTTTTAAATTTCAATTAAATTTACAATTCTCGAGTTTTATATATATATATATATATATATATATATATATATATATATATATATATCAACGATTGTCATTTATAGTGTAATTAATAATTAATTAATTAATATAATTTTTTTAAATTATTACCGTTGGATGGATGAAAATCAATGGCTAGGATAAGGAGTAAGACTTATAAATCTTACTCTGGAGTCTGGAGTCAAATGATCTCTCTCCATATATGTATATATGGCTTATGTTTTCTTCTGTCGCATGAATCAAGATTTTTCTCCTGCACTCACAGCAATAGCAACAGTGCCCATTAACATTTTTTTTTAATTATAAGTGAGCTCCACGTAAAAGATTGTTTTATCACATGAGATAAGACATTTTCAGCAAAATGAGATGATTATTTCCCATATATAGAGGGTAATCCTTTTTTTTATGTTACATAAAAAAAGTATTATCTCCTGCTCAAATAATAAATAGGAGAGAGAAAAAAGTTGAAGGCGATAGAAAAAATTCTTTTGGGATCCATTTTAAAAATGTGAGTGTAAGAGATAATATTTCTCTTATTAACATAAAAAAAGTAATTCCCATATATATATTTGATAAATCAACGAATTTTTTGGTAGACAATTATTGATGATTCAACTACTTCACTGTTCTTTTCTTTTAAATCCTTGTCATGCCAAACAGATCCTAATTTTATATGTAGTTTTTTAGTTGCGAACCCTCATCTTGATGACCAGCCCCCCCATTTTCAGCTGTGAACCTTTGTCAAATTGCACTTGTTGTATTGATGACACTGACAACATGAAAGCCTGGGTTGACGATGCTTTGATGGTGTTTTGCGTGTATTTGAGTTAAGAAGAGTGAAAGCAAAATCAAATTAAACAGAGATGAACCAGAAACAGGCAAGGAGAAATGAATGGTAGGTAAACAAAAATGGATGCCTGTAGATAGATGTGGGCAATGCATTATCATTAGGGATAAGATATTATGTCTATCGTTTTTTTATGTTTACTCTACTTATTTTTCATTAATACCATTGGATCACAGACTTAAAAGGAGAAAAAAAATTATATAAGTCAATTGAGATTGTGACACGAGTGTCGGAGAAAAAATAGATAAAATAAATATTAAAAAAAGGTAATTATAATATTTTATTCTTTATTATTATTATTATTATTATTATTATTATTATTATTTTTTGGAGTGTTAAAGGGTGTGTGGGCTTTTAGTTGGCAAATGAGTAAATGTAGGAGTAGTCCAAAGAGAAAGGATCATCAACATAGGAACTATTCACGGAGCAAGCAAGAGAAGATGGATTGGAAAAAAGAAGAAGGGGGCATTTATCATCTGAACAAAATATCTCCCTCATTATTCTCAACTGTCTCAATTACTCTTGCATTTATGTGATTTAAATGGTCTTAATAGAGTCGCCTTTTTTTTCAATGCTCGGAACTACCCAACCCACCCTCTACCATCCCTCAATTCACTTAATTGATTATCCTTCTCTTGCAAACCCACAATCAAATTTTCTTATGCTACATCACAATATGATGGTTCTAAATTGTAGTAGGAATTGAAATATATTTTTGTTTTCTTTTGATTATTATAGGCAAAACTTTCCATTCACTACTTTGGATCATGTCAGGGGATAGATAACACTACATGAAATCAGAAATCTGCTTTTCCCTATTAAATTATTATCATTCAATCTACTAGAAAATCAACTAACATTATCTCTTGCCATTTGTTGCCAACCATTATACCTAGGATTTCAGCTTAGATGCCTTATTAGTTATTTTTGTAGAAAAATTACGTGTCAAACATGTTAAGGTGCACATGAGTCATTGTTAAACTTCGCAGGTGGTGGTTACTGCTATGGAGTGTGGACTAAGCTGTAAACATCGGTTTGGTCGGTCTACAACCATCATGATTCATGAGTTTTACAACAACCAAGTGGGCCTTTGCAATCTGTTTTGACTGTTCACAAAGTACAGAGGATCTACATGCTCTCACACAATAAACTTTTGATGCTGCCACTTTTATTTATACATCTTTCTCAAGTTTTAACTTTTTAATTATGTATCATAGGTGCTTGGTTGGATGAAACAGTAAAAATATATCATTGAGGAAAAATAAAATAAAAATAGAAAAATAGAGTCAAGAAAAACTAGGTTGATTTCAGCTAAAATTTCAATAACCAAACCACAAGGGTACCTGAGGTTTAAGTCCTATTACATTGTTGCTGCCAAAAAAGCAGAAAACTTTTAAACCAGTCTCATCTCCCAGGTAGAGTCACATACATCCCCTAGCATTCTCAAATTCCTCAGTAAATTTCTTTCTATATATAACAAGAACAGTGCTATTCACGCTCCACTCTATCTCTCACTCCCTGCTTCATATCCCTTGCTTTGACCAAAAATATATATGAAAATTGTGATTTCCTCACTAAGTTGAGGAAAGAAAGGTAAGAAGTGGAGCGCACATAGCACTATTCATAGAAAAGGGTAGCAAAAGAAAACAACAAAATGAAAAGAAAGATATTCAAAAGGAATTCCTAGGTTAAAAGCTAACATGTGCTAGTAGCAGCAGAGAATGCTGAACTTGCAACAGGGGTAACCCAATTACTCTTTAACTCTTCCTTGTGGTGGGGTTATTGTTGTCATGAAGAAAATCAAGCAAAACGGTGCTTTTGCATTTGGGGCACTTTGGATCATCCTCAGAAAGCATCACATACATAAGACAACGAGGACACCCTACTAACACCATGGAAGTGGCTTCAGGGCTGTTAGAGTATCTCAGGTTATTGTTGTTGTTGTTGTCATCATCTTCTTCTTGGTTGAGCTCAGTTGACACACAAGAGCTCGGCGGCGATGTCGGTGACACCGTCGCCGATCGGGTCGGAGACTCTAGTCTCCGATCAACCCTTGGTGGAGATAGGTTCAGCTTCAAGTCAAGCTTTGGACTGCTTCCATTCCTGCGACTCATGGTTTGGTCTCTTCTTTCTCTGCAAAAGTACGTTACCTGTTTTGACACCAACCATTAACCAAAGATAAAAGGAACAAGAAAAAGGGTCCAATTACTTGACAAAAAAGATAAAAAAAAGGGTGATCACTCACTATGTGTTATTAGTTATGTACCTTAAGGTTGAAGGAGCAAGTTGTGGCTAACTAAAGCTTCAGCACCAGCAAAGTGATGTGTGTGTGTGTGTGTTGCGGGGTTGGACCTTGCAGGAGATTTTATATAAGGGAAATGAAAGGGGGGGGTGATTTAAAGCTTAATTTAATTGTGGGGAAGAGGTGGAGGGGTGAAGAAGAGAGAGGAGAGAGAAAGAAAGTGATGGAACTGAATTGAATTGTATTCAAGTATTGGGTAGAAGAAGAGTGTAAATTGTGGCCAGGAAATGTATTAATTGTTTGGAAAAATCCCAAGAAATATGCAGGAATTGGAAATTTGAAGTAAATATTGCAATTACAAAGTGCAGGGTGAGGGCCTTTCTTCATTCATTGCTTATATGAGAGTCGGTGTTTAACTCTCACAGCATTACAACACGGGAGAATACACAATGACTTTTAAAGCTAAACCCATTTTTTATTTTTTATTTTTTGTTTTCGATCACCACCCATTTGAATGAAATTAATTTCTTTAGTGACGTAAAATATAAAGATTTTTGTCACTGATCCAAGTTGATTGCTTTGAAATTAAATCGAATACTTTTCAATACAAGCCATTTCCTTTCTAGTTGTGCCACCGCTTAGGATTAAACAAAAGGGTAAAATTAATTTATATCAGTATAAAAATAATAAATCTTATACTCAATCTTAACTATTAATTTTCGCTCATTCGTGGTTATAATTTTTTAAAAATTAATAAATGTAACCCAATAAATTACTATCATTTTGATATATGAAAATCAATTATTAAGATTGGGTATAAAATTTATTATTCTCAGTATAAGTTGATCACGTCTCTTAAATTAAACCCATATTAAAAAATCCAACTCCACCAAGAAAAATTAATAGGAAAACCAAGTGTAACAGCCGAACCTCAAATTTAAATATTCAACCGTATCCCCAAAGAAAAGTTAAACAGATTAAATGAAAAAGGACCATAGGATATAAATTTGATTAAAAGTTTTAGATGGGAATTAAATTTTAAGAAATATTTTTCAATGTGCAAAGGAAATAAGAAAGAGGGGAAAAAGTTCTTTTGGATTATTGAGGTAATCAGTAAAGGGTTTGGTCTGGCTTATTTTAACGTTGTGGCTAAATCTAACTGAGCATGTAATAGCTCTTAGTGAATGGAAATCTCATGGTCTGAGTCTCTGTTGTTCTATTGAGGAATTGGTTCTCACTTGCTTGGGGAAGTACAAGACATGTGTTCATCGTCCGACAGAAATTACAGGATCTCATTGTGTTTTATCATGGGGACCAATGGACCATTCATTGTTTTTCAAAACATTATTGCCATAACCAAAAAATGAATGCTTTTTTTGTCAATTTTATTCATGAATTGTTAATGCAGCTAGAACGAGCTGTTATGATGCTGCATGTGGACCATTTACTAGAGTCCAACTCCAATTATGCATTTAAAGGCACCCTTTAGGCTTTAGGCTTCCTTGTGAAAAATTATAGCCTTACCATCCTTTCCATGTAATATAGGGAGGTCCAACTACGAAATTTATTAATTGATGAAAAAACATGCACTCATTTAAGTCTATTTGTCATTTTTTTAAAATTTTTCATAAAGTCCTTGTTCAAAGGATATAAAGAGGAAAAAAATATTTCTACAGCTACTTTAGATAATATTATCTTCAGTTATTCTTTTTTAATTAAGTCTGATCAGTAAGATATAATTATAACAATAAAACTGTTCTTTTGTTCTCTCTCCTCAGACATTGTCGGCTGACGTGGCAAAGAGAGAAAATGTAATTTTTATGTCTTACTGCTCAAATTTAATTAAAAAGGAGTAGCTATAGACAATCTTATCTAAAGTGGCGTAGAAATGTTTAACCCATATAAATATTATTAAATTGTTTTAGAACTACATAAAATAGTCTTGTTTAGAGTCACGCTGGATTCTTAACTCTATGATATACCAACACATAACCGGAGGAGATTCAAATTTCTTTCCTCTTTTTCTGTTACCAATTTTATTTATTGAAAATTAGTTGACAGTGTTTTTTGTCAATTGTCATTCGTATTTAATTTGGAGTTGAATTAGAAACAAGAAGATGATATAAAAATAATTAAACTCTAACAATATGATAGTATAAAATAATTTCATATTTACAATAGATCAAAATAAAAATGTTAAATAGAAATAAGAAATTTAGTGATGGGTAATTCATGGATCAGCCTAAAATTCAATAAGGTTTTATTTTACAGGTCTCCATTATTATTTTCTTTCGGATCATCGAAAATCCAATATTATAATAAGGATGTTTCAACCACTAAACATGTACATCAATTAATAGGAGTTTGTTCGTTCGAGTTGAGAGTCCGTTACTGTATTAAAAACTTAATAGGAAAAATTTGTCTTCCTTATAATTTTATTTAGCTCAAACTGAACTAATTGAGTAATTAATTAAATTGGACTCATATAAATTAAGAATAGTTCTCCTAATATTATTTTTTTCAATGTTATTAAATTCAACCTGGGCGTTGACCCGATCAGGATACTGGGTTATTGGTCGGACCAGTGGATCATTGATTGAACCGGTTGACTCGGATATATATAGATATATAAAAATAGGAATATATAAATTCAATTATATTCTCCATATCTAAAAGGAATTCCACAATATTCACTAAATAAGGTAAAAAACAAGAAACATAAATAAATAAAAATGCACGCTATTACTATGTTAATTTAAATTGCAACTCAGAATTTCCATAAACTACCACTCAATGACATTAAACTTATATTTTTCAAATTCAATTACATTAAAATGATATATGTCACATTCTCTTAATTTATTATTTCGCAAATTGCTTCAGTATTGGAAACTGAAATTTGAGGTCATATTTAAGTTTCACATTTTTTTATGACAAGATGAAACAATTTTGATTTTTTTTTTGATTTTTTTTTTTAAAATGCATGACCCGACCGGGTTATCGGGTCACCGGTTTTTAACCGAATCGATGCATGACCGGTACAATGTTTGACCCGAACCGGTCATCGTGATTTTTTCTATTACAAACACTCAAATTCGAAAATAAAATTTTTATCACTTGAACTAATAATTGTTTATAAATCTCCCTTATTTGTTAAGATTTAAAAACTAACGAAAATACAAAGTCAAGGAAATTATGAAGTCTGATGAGATGAGGAAAACCACCTGTAAGCAGCAATTTCATTTTCCATATAAGGAACTTTATGGTCAACGTGGCAAAGGTTCATGGAACATGCTTTAAATGAGGGGCTGCTGCTTACTATAAATAGACAACAATTCCATTCCCCTTCAATATTATAACGATGACAGATAAGATCAATGGAAGGGATCGATCCATCTCCTCCATTTCAACCACTTAACCGGCGGTGTACTAGTTGAAAATGAAAAACCAAACAAATAATCCAAAGTGCCATCCAACAGAAAAAGGAAAAAAGAATTTTTTTTTTGTCATTTTCGGTTTCGGCCATTTTGCTTACGTTATTCTTACACTAGTTAATTATTATAGTTGACCAAATAATATATATTAATAAAAGAATTTAACATCTTCGATAAGTGTAAAAATGATGAGCAAAATCTAATTAATACGTTTAAAGTTTCTCATTGTGGAATATAAAATTATATTCTATAGGCATAAATGTGTGGGTTCAGTTTTTTTTTTCTCTCTCTTATCCTCGTGATGTGCATTGTTCAGTTCGGTTTGATGTTCTTGCTGAACCGGTTGAATTGGAAAGATAAATTCAATTCTAAAAATTGAATTGACTTTTTAGTTCTGTTCAGTTATGAACTGATTCATTCAGTTCAGTTCAGAACAAATTGATTTTAAATTAATTCATAATTGATTTTTAAAATTAATTCTGAATCTAAATAAAAAATATAAATGATATTGAAAATTAATAAAAAATACATAAGTGAAAAACTATAAAATAAAAAACTAAATAAACAAAGAAATAAAAATAAATAAAAAAGAAGACAGTAAATAAATAAATAAAATAAGAGAAATAGAGAGAGAAAAATATAAATGAAAAGACGAGAAAAAAAACTGGTTCGGTTCATGAAAACTAATTTTTAAAAACAGTTCAATTCAAGAAGTGATTTAAAAAATAATTTTTGTAAGTGTAGTGCTTTTTATGGTTCCTTTGCACATCCCTAAAATTAAACTGTTTTTCGAATTAGTTTTGAATCCAAATGAAAAATATAAAAATATCGAGAGAAAAAAACATATTAATTTCACAATTTGAAAAAAAAGCAATTAACAATTAAAATATAAATAAAGAAAAAATAAGAGAGAAAAAACATAAGAGAAAAAAAAGAAAATAAAAAAGAAAATACAAATAAAAGTAAAGATAAAAGAAAGAAGAAAATAAATAAGGAAGAAAAAAGAAGAGAGAAAAAAGAAGGTTTTAATGTTTCTACAGTGAAGTAGATAAATTATCTACATTCATTCTCAAAACGACGTTATTTTGGGTTGAAAAATTAAAAAATTATAATGAGAAAGACTATTATAACTCTGAAATAAATTATAATTACAAAAATACCTTGATTTTTACCTCAAAACGACGTCATTTTGGGCGCAATGTAAATAACTTATCTATATTAACTGCAGAAAAAATGAACCTATAAAAGAATAAGAGAAAAGGAAAAGAAAACAAATTCAATTCATGGTTTTTTAACCAGTTGGATTCATAAACCAGTTCAGTTCATGAATTAATTTTTCAAAAATAATTGAGTTCAAGAAGTAATTTTTAAATTTTTTTTTTTTTTAAGTGCAGTTCAGTGTTTTTGTACCTTTCCGCACTCCTACTAACATGACCTCACATGGGCTTAATATACTTTATGTGTGTGTAAGAGATAATTTTATCTACTAAAAAATGAGAAACTTTATCCTTTATTTATAAGATAAAATATGGGGTTTTATTAATCTCATAT